AACAAACCAAACTCACTGCTGTCAAGTCAGATCCAACTCATAACAACTCCTCGTTGGGTTTCTGAGGCAGTATCACTATGGAAGTAGATTGCCCAACCTTCCTTCTGAGGAGTGGCTGGTGCATTTGAACTACCAGCCTTCTGGTTAGCAGTCAAATGCCTTAGGCACTACGCCACCAGAGCTCCTAGCAGATGTTTAGGAATGGGCAAATAGGAAAAGATGAACTGTACAGCTTAATTAAAATGAAATCCATTCATATAGAATTCTATAAAAATATAACTAATTCTTATAACATTCCAGGAAAGAAAAAGATATATGACATTTTAGTGGTTAGAATACTAGATATCCAGAAAAGAAATAGTTAAACATTTCTATAAATATGCAAAAATCTTGTCTTTGTTCCTTTCATCAAGTATATACAAATGATTTTCTTATCTTTAAGACATTAAGATAATTACTGGTAATTAGCAACTATAATTTAAAATATCTTCAGTCTTAAACTACAAACACCACTGAGAATATGCACCCATGAAAATAAATCTCATGTACAATGTACACAATGGTATTGCTTTTGTACAATGGTGAAAAAGGACAAAAGGCAAACAAGTACACTCTAATATTCATGAATAAGGAATAATGATTAAACACTTGATAAAAGTATATTTAAAGTTATTCTGCATTGTTTAAAGAAAGTTAAAAGCTGACTGCTTGGATAAGATTGGAATTCAATTCTGAGTTTCAAATAAACATAGTAAATATATGACAATATTATTCATTTTAAAATTCTTTCAGGAACATTCTGACAGAGACAGTAGCAAAAATGAAATATATAAGTATCATAAGAATTTTAAAAACATCTACAAATGAAAGCTCTCCATACCATATGGGAGGAAGACTCTTTTGGGGGAAATTATGGTTGTTTAAATGGAAGAGCAACATTGATCATGGATGAAGAAAAGGAACCTAACATTAATTGCTCTATTTTAGGAAATATACTTAAGGGAAAATTATTGTAGTCTCTAAAATGTTAATAGAACTTATATTCTGCTCTATATTTACTTATAATTTGCTTCTTTTATATTCAAAGTCCTTGAGAGAAGGTACTAAGGCTTCAACAAAACTTTGTTCAGAATAACACATAGTAAAATGTAGTGTTTTTTTATTTTTTAATAGGTAGTTAATGAATGTTTTTGAATGAATAAATAAATAGACCGAATGTAAAAGTGAGGTAAATGATAGGTATAAGTCTTGATCAGGGACCCTATCTATCATTTTAGCTTGATTTAAATATTAAGGAAAATGTTGAACCAGTTAGGTAACTTAAATATTCTGACAACATGCCAGATAGCTTATGTAGTATCACTTCATTAACAAAATCAGAAACTATTTGAAAATTAGTACTGAAGAAATTGTTTCTTATTGCATATTTATAAATTTGGAGTCCAAAATCTTATTTGAGATAGAAAATTCACACTTCTAAAATGTTCACTTATTTATGTTACACACACGGACAGACCTGCCTCCACCTCTTCAACCTGTTTTTCTACCCCCTGCTCTTTCACGTGCCTGGTTTCTTCATTAACTTCTGTATTTGCATGAGTAAAAGTAAAGAAAAAATAAGATCATATATGTATATTTGTTACTGTTAACTGAAACAAAGGAAAAAAACAAAAAACCTTTGAATTATTCATAATAATGAGTGATTATAAGGAAACTTATTTTTAACAGATTTCTGACTTGTTTTATGGAAAAGAAAATTAGTATACTGATAATAAATTACTGCTGGCTTTTAAGATGACTTGATTCACAAAAAAGAAATTGTGACCCCTAAAATATTTGAGATATGTGTATGTATAACTGTATAAGCAGGCAAAATACTTTGTCTATAAATTGATATGTTGTTAGAAAATTAATGTTAATATGATTTTTCTAGAGAACAAAAATTACTTAAAAAAACCAGCAACAACAACAACAAAAAAACCTTGTTTTGTTTCTTCAAGAGTGCATCAAATTTAGAGGAAAACAAAGTAACAATGCCTTGCTTAGGATATTGCACTTTCACTATATTGATCTTACTGTATTTCTATGGCTCTGAGAAGAGATGACTAAATATGTACCAACATACAAGGCCGACATACATAAGGTTTTTAACTAATTGTACAAACTAAAATAGAACTTAATTAACATAACGCATAAAACTTAAATTAAGACTTGCTCATTTTCATCCATTGAAGAAGATTAGAACATAGATACCTCAATGCTTTTGATTATAAAATAAAGCCATTAAATTACAACTTGTGACAATTAACTTTTTAAGAGACAAGTGAAACATCATTTGACTTAGTCAACTGAAAGTCTATTTAGGATTACTGTGCATTTAACCTCAGCTAGAAGCTAAGAGTTTTTAAAAATACATATATTGCCTTTTAAATCTACAGCAAATCACACAACTATGTACATCCTAAAGTCTCCATATCAACATTTATAAAAATAATGATTTTAAAAAATCATCCACACTTCTAAGCAAAACAAAACAAACAAAAATGTTTTATGTGACACTGTAAAGGATAACAGAGCTTTTGGTTCCTTTCTCTTTTGTGAAGGAAAAAAATGAAAAAATTACAATAGGGGACCCTAAATGAGACATAGTTTTAATTGATTCTATTTAAAAAATAAAAAACAAAACAAAAAGAACAGGCAGTAAACAGAATGTTTCTTGACTAGCCATCAGAGACTTCATCACCCTGACTTTAAGTATGAACTCTATGTTTGGTTTTCTGGTACATTTATGATTATAAAGAATGGAGGGACTCATATCTCAATAGAGTCCAGCCATGAAAGAGACTAAAATTAAACAATTTCAAAATTCTGATATTAACTATCCTTCTTACTTCATAATTCTAACAAATGATACTGAAATACTACCTTTGGAAATTTGGGAGGATAAAAATTCCAAACACACCATAGGACTTTCCTTATGAAAAGTAGTTTTAAAATTATATATACTTGTCCTTATGCAAGTAATTGACAATCACAGAAATGCTCTGAACTCTTTTAAAGGTGCAGCATAACAAACCACCCGTCACAACTGTACTGGGTTATTCAAAAGCATAGTATACAGTAAGTAGAAAGAAGCACAAAACAGAAGCTGAACTTCACTCAGTTACAACATTATAAGCACACAACTAATTCCAGTAAGTTACATAAAGCAATAAAAGTATTGTTCCTTAAATTCAATATGCTACAAATTTATATTAAATAGGCTATAAAAACAACAAAAAATATATAAACATACATAGGATGACAAGATTTTTTTGATGGGACTTTATAAACTACCTGAAATATCTTTTGAGTTTTAAAATTAGTATTTCATCCATTCATTCAACAAATATTTATTGAGGGCCTACTATATGCTGGGCATTATTCTATGTGCTGGAGATTCATAAGTAACACAAACAGTTAAAAATTGTTTAAAGTAGCAAAAGAAGTTTCAGAATTTTATAAGAAGCAGAAAATTTTTGTTCTAGTAAATGTACACATCCCGTATCTCATAACTTAATATTTTCTCTTGAGTATAATGTTTATAATGTAGTGTTTGATAATAAAACTAGATCACATTTAACTTGGATACACAATCTTTCTACAACATAAAACATGATGTAAAGATACAAACCACAATCACTATCTGATTCAATAACTTTCTTTTCTAGAAAGTCAAATTTAATAATTTAAAGATCATCATAAATACAAAATGAAATATATGATGATAATTATAACTAGACTATGTGCTCAACCTCAATGACATAAACACAGACTGCAATTGATATCTTTGGTTCAAGTGTTAATCATGACCTAGAGTTCTGTCTAAAAGGCAGATTAAATTTTTAAGAAGAGCAAACTTTAAATTTTATCTCTGAATTTAAACAAAATTAAACCCTTTGCATTCTTAGTTGACTGAATCAAAGAAATTTAACGCCTTGGTATAATATCCAAGAAAAACAAAAGTTGAATACTAAAAATCATAAAAGAATTTTATTGTACATAAAAGTCTACATAATGAAGGGACAGCAATTGCAGTTGGGTTTATTTTTGCTTACATAGCCCCCCAAAAAGGCTGTCAGCACAAAACAAACCCTCCTTTATGTACAGACCTTCATAAGATTCTATCTCCTTGACTCCATTGTCTAGAAAAACAAAATAAAAACAAAACAAAAAAAGGGAACCAAAGCACAGGGGTTAAAAACAACAGAAATTTCCAAAGGCACAGACTGTATTGTCTATTAAAAAAAAGTTAAATGGTAACTTAAATACATATTTTCTTTATTGCAAAGCACATCCAGTTACCAAATAAAGGGATTATTTTAAAAATGATTTTGAAAAATTGTAATATTAAATTATTATCCATGCTTTTAGAGGTTCTTTATCTACTAATTTATAAATTTGGGGGGCAGTATGTCCATGTGTGTGTATGCAATAGTGCTTCTTATGCCAAAATTTGAAAGTATTAAAAATATCAGTACAACATGCATCTTTTTTTGGTATATTCATGATTACCTTTTCCTGGTAGTCCAGTTTTGAAGGATCACCATTGCTGTGCATCAGCTAACCAGTCCTTTGCAGTGTGTGAAAATTGATTTGGCTAGTTACTAATAAACTTTATGTAACTAACAACAATTACATAACTTAGTTGTACCAATGAAATATCATCCAACTGCTTATTTAAGAGCACTGCTTACATTTATTTTTAAAACTGAATCTATTCAAATTTGAAAAATATTAAAAAGCAACAGAAATAAAGAAAACTTATTTTTTCCCCAAACATTACAAATTTTAAGTGCAAAATACATGATATTTATAAATATAACTACAATTAATTAGAGGTAAAATATCAATTGGCAAAAGAAGAAAAATAACGTAGAGCTTGGAAAAAAAAACAAGTATTGCTTCACCTTAGCCTCCGTGTGCACTTCCTATATGACATAATTCCCAACAACACTTACTTCTCTCCAACGTCCCTTTTGGTGGAAGCTGTGGGAGCTGCCGGCCCCTGCGCCCTGCCACTGGAGTACTTGACGGGCTTGTTTGGACAGACCCAGTACGAGGATGAGACCTACAAGACACACCATTAACATTCATTTTCAATAGAATGAGTAAATACGTTCAATACATTTGGTTCACATGATAGTTGTCTAAATGCACTTTTAAAAGTGGTTTAGCTGCTGATCAAAAGGTTAAGAACATAGGACAAAATAAGGATATTTGAATGCTTCTAAATTGCAAAAGACATTTATATTTTTGTGTAATATGCATACATTCACACATTCATGTGCACACAAAAGCCTACAGTAAAATCCAGGTAATTGTTATTGTAAATCAATATTCAATCCATATGCAAGCAAGAGAATCCTGCAGCTCAAGAAATAAAGGGTAACATTTTACATTGCTTTCTACCAGCTATCAAATCCTAACTTTCCTTCCCTGATCCAAAGAGACTTTTACTCAGGTTCACATTAAATATCCTCTTATTGGAAAATAGCTCATGTAGCTATAAATAATAGTCTCAACATTTCAAAATTGAGCTAAAGAAGATGTTAGTTAATACATCATATTAGCATTGTTAGGAAGAAAGTAAATATCTGGTTTCATTTATTGGCATTATGATGAATATTCCAAAAGTGATGTCTAATGGAGACAAACAATTTCTCATTCTGGAGGAGAAGAACATGATAGTTATGAGGTGCAATGTGGGGATGTACCCAGGACTCCTGATAAATGAGAAATCACAAAACAAATGTAGTCAGAACGGTTAATAAACACATTACAATGACAGCCACACACTATTATATCCACTGAATATAAATAGTGTGTTTACATTTAGAGGGTTAGTATTGATTGTTATTAGTGATCAGCCAAGGATGACAGAAGAGACCATTAGCTGCTGGGAAAATAAAATGGAGTGCTGGTGGGGCAGAGGGGAAGTTAGTCTGATTGATTTATCTTTCACCTCGATAAGGCGGGTGAAGGAGGGGCAGATCTTCCAGTCATTAATGAAGGCATCGACCTCATGAGGTTTGTATCAGGACGTTCAGTGGATCTGGAGCGGGTGGTGGTCCGCTCTAGCAGAGGCCGCTGTTCTGTTGATCTGGATCTGTGATATGGCTGTCTATCTGCTGCTTCACAATCCCTGAAACGTTAGTCAAAAAGCAGCTCAGTTGATCTTTAGTGCCCTTTGGCTATTTGGTTATGATGCATCAAACTGACTTTGAAAAAGGTAACTATTTAAAATTATTGAGTATGTAAAGAATTTTCTCTCCCCCAACATAGTCTGAGCAAATTCTCACCACACTGCTAAAGAATTTCTCAGGAACCAAAATCTGCCTGTAATAGTAATTCCCAATGACAACAACAGGAGTTGCTCAGTGCAATCAATAACAAAACAACACTGTTTTCCAAAATGAATTCCATATTTGGAACAAGTGACATATGTGATGCATTAGTTTAAAGGATTTAATTCAATTTCCTAACATTTTCAAAAAAGTGAAGAAAACAACATAAATATTAAGGCCCTAAGGCATATATATATATATATATATATATATATAAATACTTTCAATATAATAATAGGATCAATGATACCTGAAAATTTAAACAGAAGGTCTAAATTAGGTTACAAGGAAAAAAGTGCAACTTTGAAACCTATTGCCTTATCAAACATGGGCCACAATAAATTCATGGTGTAGAACACTGGTTATCAGCCAGTCCATGGCATCTATCTTAGTACTCTAGCTATGCCAAACAATGCAATCCAGAACGGGTCTTAATTAAATGAAATAATAATAGTTCTGATACAATATGATCTTGATGACCACAAATAAATCTAGTACCAAAATTTAGGGGAACTCTGGTAGCATAGTGCCTAAGACACTTGACTGCTAACCAGAAGGCTGGCGGTTCAAACTCCTCGGAAGGAAGGCTGGGCAATCTCTTCCATAGTGATACTGCCTCGGAAACCCAAGGAGGGGTTGCTATGAGTCTGGTCCAATTCGACGGCACATAACAACAATAACAACAACACCAAAACTTAATCCTTGTTGAAAGAAATATACTTAATTTTAAGTAACCTATCATTATTGTTTTTTGTATCCCGACTCGATGGCACATAGCAACAACAACAAGAGTCTAGCATAATGTTTTACATATGTGATTAATAAATGCTTTCCAACAATAGCCCCACATTCTGTCAGATGATCTTAAAATACTAGCTAGCTTTGATGCTAGGACTTAAACGAAACACATACTGCAAAGTACACTTCAAATCAGACTATTACACCTCACCTAGTTCCATAAAGATTACAGCATAGGAAACTCTATGTGGCAGTTCTACTCTGTCCTATAGGATCTCTGTGAGTAGAAACGGACTGGATGGCACACAACACAGCTGTAACTACAGACACGGAAAGAAGCATATATTACGGATGTCAAAGCATTGGTCTGCCTCAAGACCAATGTATCAAGGACTTCCACTTTTCCTAAAAACTCTCAATCTTATTTTTGATAACAACAAATACAGACCATCAAAACAGTAAAAAGAAAAAGAACATAATTTTCCAAACTTCATGAATTATGTGGCACATACTTTTGGGTCAGTGGAGATTAATGACTTTAGGAAGTAAACGTTGAACTTATTCTACATTGTATCTTGTGTTGACCTTACATTTTAAGTTCATAGGGTAATAAATCACTTTTAAATATTTAAAGTCTGTGTACTGGAACATGATTGATTTTCTAAGATAATTTTAGTAGTTTTAATATAAGAGTTATAGAACAGGTTAAAAAATTTGAAATATAAATATGTATATAACATTCAATTACCTGGCAAGAATAAAAATGAAAAATGGAACCTCATAGTATAAAAACTTGTAATTCTACTTTTGTTTCTGAAAAACTGTTTCAGGTAAAACTTTCTTCTTTGGAAATAAATACGCTCAATAGCTTCTTACATGTTTTAGTATATGTATCTTTGTGTATCTTCATCACATTAGACAATCAGAATCAAAGGGATATATATCTTAAACTGCCTAAAACATATTTTTGAAGAGTACTAACATTTCTAATTATCTTAAGTTAACAGTCAACATATATCATTATATAACATACGACAATAATTTGTGTGACATCTTTGAGTACCCAAACATAACATTAGGCTAATATTTAATTTATTTATGCAAAAATCGATCTATTCTGATTCCACCAATCCATTTTTCCAAGTGGAAAGTGAAATGCCAGAATATACAACTTCAATTCTTTGGTTCTATTTAATAAGTGAAATATATAATTATGGATGAAATTGAGATAATTAATCTCAAGTGTGTTGCCATGCCCTATGTTCTAAAAGGATCTATTTATTATTCATGAAACAAAAAGTTAGTCCTTAGGAAATACCACTTGCAAAAAAATATTCCTTTAGTGAACAAATTGAAGACTACAGAATGTCTTTTAAATATTACTTATATTTTTCTTTCCACAATAATATGAAATATAAATATAGAAAATTGGCATTATATAATAATTTCCACAGTGAGAAATGAAAACAGATTAATAGATGAAAACATGAAAAAAATTACATGGCAGTAATATCCTAAAAATGTCCCATCATAATTCAGGGGAATGAAAAGCTACTTTATTTTAACTTTGATAACACATAAAAATATCATGATATGCTCCTCTTCCACAAATGGGTAAGGAAAGGTCTGACTAGGTAAGACCTGAGGTAATTGCTAAGAAATTTAAAGTAGCAATTCCCAGATCAGCCAGTCTCATGGAAAGTTCTTTCAGGAATCAAGATATCCCTTAAAATATGAGAACTTCAGTGAATTTTAAGATGAGAGTTTATAAATAATTAATTTTTAATAGCAGCAACTGAGAAGTAGAAAATACCCATAAGACTCTGCAAGAAATAATCTATTTTGGTGCCTACTTGGGGATCTGTATTTCAGTATGAGTAGCAGCTTTTGTAACTGTAATTGTTCACATTATTTTACCTAAATGCTTTTAAAAACTTGATTCTGAAAAGTGTGGCCACAGCTTGTTTTCCTTTGTTTAAGGAACAGAGCACATAAAAGGTTAGAAACCTCTCACTTGCAAATGTTATGTTTCTTAGGTAAATTATTTGGTTGTCTTTTACAAAGTGAGTTAGTATCTGTCATGGTTCTGTATTTTTGAGTAAATAGTATAGATGTTTTAATATAAATTTAAAATAGTTCAGATTTTTTGAATGTGTCAACATAGTCTGGTGAAGAGCTCTGGAGGTGCAATGCCTGAGGCATTTGACTGCTAACCAGAAGATTGGTGGTTCTAATCCACCTGCTGCACCGCAGAAGAAAGATGGGGCAATCTAGTTCCGTAAAGATTTATCACGTTGGAAATCCAGTGGTGGTTACTCTAAGCCAGAATCAACTCAACGGCAGTGGGTTTGGTTTGGGTCTGGGTATATAATCTGGGTAGATGTTGACAGCTGCTTGGCATTATCTAGTGGCAGCTAATCCAAACTGCAGGCACTTGCAGAGGACACTGGTTAACAGCCCCCCAAAACAGAACTGATTTGCACCAACCGACAGTATTTTAGCAATAGGCAGGGTGATGATACCAAGCTAATTCAAAAGCATATAACAGCATATGCGGATTTTGAGAGTAAGATAGGCTGACACAAGACCACAATAATAAAGAAACCCATTTAAATGGACTTCGAATTTAATGTCAGTGTATAAGTATCAGAAAAATTAAAACTGAAAGAGTCAGTGTTTATGCGTAAGAAAGACTAAAGCGGAGAGTATTACATTTTAGAACTTCTTTTCAGACATTTTCAAGGGGAAAAATATAATCATTTAGTGATTGTAAGATACTTGGAATCATTTGATGACTTTGAAATCAAAGTTGACAACTTTGAATCATTTTCCCTCTCCTTATTGTTGTCGTTACGTGCCGTCGAGTCGGACCCGACTCATAGCGACCCCACTTTGGGTTTCCAAGGCAGTATTGGGGCAATCTACTTCCGTGGTGATACTGCCTTGGAAACCCAAGGAAGGGTCGCTATGAGTTGGGTCCGACTTGACAGCACATAACAACAACAACAACATCACTACGGAAGGAGATTGCCCCATCTTCCTTCCGAGGAGTGGCTGGTGGGTTTGAACCGCCAGCCTTCTGGTTAGCAGTCAAGTGCCTGAGGCACTACGCTACCAGAGCTCCCCCTCTCCTTATTAGCTCCTCTTAATTTCCAAGTATCTGACATAATCTCCTACTTATTTTACCACCTTTGCTATTTACGTTAGGGTCTTATGCTCAATCAGAAGGTGGCACAATGGTTAAGCGCTCAGCAGCTGATTGAAAGTTTGAACCCACCCAGTGACCCCATGGAAAAAAGATGAAGCAAACTGCTCCTGTAAAGACCCACAGCCTAGAGAACCCCATGGAGCAGTACTACCTTGACGCATGGGGTCACTGTGAGTTGCAAGCGACTGGATGGCACCTAGCAAGGACAACGTTACCAAAGTACATGCAATTTATGACAGGTACCAGGGAAGAGCAGGCCAGTGGGCATTCTCCCATGTATCACAACGATACAATTCGAGCTCAGTGTAGAATAGCTCTCTAGATATGACAAAAAATAATACTAAGAATACTAAAAAACAAAACAGAAAAAAGCCACCTATACAATGTAATGCTTCAAAATAATATTAGAAATTAATGAAAATTGTTCTATAATGCAACTCAGAGATTATTTTCTATATTAAATCAGACAGACTTATTTCATGTTTGTATTGTAGAGATTCCATAAGTAAATTTTCAAAGGATTCTTGAAAAATAAACCTTTTTAAAACAAAGCTTTAGGCATGATGGATCATTTCTGCTGAGAGAAATGTAAAACCTCTATGTTGGTTAATCATAAATGAGGCCATTCAAAAATAACAAATATTTAGAGGCAGCCAAGTCAGGAGCTCTGGTGGCATAGTGCCTAAGGCATTTGACTGCTAACCAGAAGGCTGGCGGTTCAAACCCACCAGCCACTCCTCGGAAGGAAGGCTGGGCAATCCTACTTCTGTAGTGATACTGCCTTGAAAACCCAAGGAGGGGTCGCTGTGAGTCGGGGCTGACTCGATGGCAAATAACAACAACAACAACAAG